CTTTTATATATATATATAAGAATGGATTATATGATAAACCTTTACACTCTCTTGTTCTGGAATCATTGTGGTATTGCAGATACGCCCACACTCACGTATATTCCCTTGTTCTTGGATCTACCAGACACAGTACCACACGGGCAGATTGTAGGTTATTGGAGATTTATACCATCGCGGCATACACCTATTTACCTACAATCCTACAACTAGTGTGGTACTATAGGCTTGTACCATTCACCCAGTGAATTGCATTCACTCATTCATTCGGATATAATTCACGCCGATGTACATCGTGCACACATACATGTACATACACCATCCCAGAACACAGTGGCCTGTCCAAACTTATGTATTCCACCAAATGTTTACCCACACTTATATACACCCACACTTAAATACACCCACACTTATATACAGCCACACTTATACACAACCACACTTACATACACCCACACTTATATACACCCACACTTTCATACACCCACACTTTTATATACACACGCACTTATATACACCCACACTTACATACACCCACACTTATACACACCCACACTTATACACACCCACACTTACATACACCCACACTTATATACACCCACTCACTTATAAACACCCACACTTATATATACCCACACTTATATACACCCACACTTTTATTTACCCACACTTATATACACTCACACTTAATTAGCATACACCATCACTTAACTCTACCCACAGTTGGATGCAAACGGCCGTATTCCCTGCAATCAGTATGGCAATGTAGATCTGTACCATCCCAGTATGTTACCAGAGGGTACCAGACATGTGGCACTGCCTGGGAGTGCAGTTATTGCGAAGAAGCTGGGCTTTCACATCCGCGTTGCTATGACTGGTTTTGAGTACAAGGCTCAGAGCGTATGTGTTCGTATTTTCTTGTACGTACATGTTTGTTTTTGATATATATATACATATCATATAGTTATAGGTAAATGTTTGTAAATAGATTATATATATATATATATGTACATATATAAATATATATATATACATAAATATATATATATATATATATATGTGTGTGTGTGTGTGTGTGTGTTTATTATATATATATAGTATATATATAT